CCCCAAAACCCCAAAACCCCAAAACCCCAAAACCCCAAAACCCCAAAACCCCAAAACCCCACTCCATTGAAGTAAAATTGAATCAGAGCCAAATTTAGATTTAATCAATTTTGATCTTCTTACTTTGCTGCTTTCTCAGATGGACTATCTTTGGTGTGAGGAAATTGATCACCTCAAAAGCAAGCATAAGCATTGTGATTTTGAACACGAATAAGTCATCTTCTCTGGAGTCTAGCAAAGAGCTTCCTAAGGTCTTAAGACATTGGTTGGTGATCTTATCAGAGCACATGCTAGCACTGACCTCGATAATATCTTGCTGATAATGGTCAATGTAGCTAACACAGAAATATACTAGCAGAATTTTGAGGAATGACATGGAGATGGTCCATTTATAACTCAGTTGTTCGAACCAGCCTACCCATTTACCTGGTTTCCCTCCTAATAAGATTTTGTATGAAGTAATAATCAAGCTGACAAGTCCAAAAATACAACATGAAACGAGAATATTCGCCAAAGATACATAGTTGAACATTGATTGCCATGTATTGACCGAATCTACAGCCGCAATATTGTTAAATGTCTCTACAGGAGAAAGCTTATTTGCATATCACTCTGAGCCCCATTGAATATATGATCTCTGGTAAAGATTCATGGTGGAAGCTTTCCCCCATGCTTTCTCCCAATGAGCTTGGGACTTTATGATTTCATAGTTGTCTTCACTAGTGACAAATCTGTATCTCTCATCATAGAGAACATCGTTCTCTAAAATAGTGTTGCATCCCTTTCTATAGCATTATTTGAGCAAAGTAATTGAACAAATTTCTTGGCTAATGAAGACTATAGTTATCTAAAAGCATCTAGAAGCCCATTGATGAAAAATAGTCAGATTTAAAGCTCTGGCTTAGTCAATAAGCTCTTGGCCACAATAATAATACATTTTTCAAAACATTTTGATTGTTAAAGAATTTCGAAAATTTTGGTTTTAATAAAAATCTTCTGGGAATAATTCAGTGACAATAGAAATTACTGAAAGCCTTACTTGATATTCCTTGAAAGCTTCTTAAATCTTGAGCGAGTTGCATGATCAAATTCATGGACGTCTATACAAGGAGAACCTTCCGTGAGCTTTAATTCAGCAACTGGCAAGTGAGAACTATTTCTTGAATAATACAAAGTCTGGGAATCTGAAAGTGCAATCCTAAAGCTATTAGCATAAGTATTACTTCTCATATTTCTTCCCTAAAGATGGTGACTGAGTAGAGCTAACTGCAAGATCAGTTATTGGACAAGGAGAGTCAGTAGGAACACATGTAGCAAACTTAAAATCGTGGAGTGTATTTCCGCACATCTTTAACCCTATCTCACATTTGTTCTCAGCATCAGGCTTCTGTAGTTCTAAGAAGTTCAGGCTACTTCTTTTTCCACATAAGGTCGAGTTATGAATCCAATGTGAAGAGCTTTCTGGAGTTTCCTTAATAGTATGACAGCCTTTTCTATGCTCTTTAATGTTGCATGATCCTATAGTGAGCTTTGATCTTCTATTCTCAGTTGCCTGACATAAGCAGCCGCTCACAGTTCCTGCCCATTTGGAATCCAGAAGGTATTCATATCCTTCAGGACAGGTTTGGTAAGGATCCACCACCAAAATATCTTCAAGAAATGGAGTCTTCCAGTTGTCAAAGACATAATCAATCTGATTTTTATTAGCTCCAAGTCTTTGGAATGCCTCTAATGTATACACAAAACTACTAACGCTAAACATCAGAACCAAAGTAGCTGTAATGAACGAAGTAAGTGCCTTAATTTGTGTATAATCTTCATCTTGGAGTAGCTCTTCCATCTCTTTCTCTGGGATTACTCTCAAAGAAATAAGACTTGTTTGAAGAGTGAACCAATTTTTTCTTGCCTTTTCCCTTCTCTGTCTATTCTGGTCAATTACCTTATTGACTGCAGCCCTGAACTTGATCTTTGAAGGGCTGAGATACTTCATCTTGCTAGGTGTATCCTTACCACCGGCTGTTTTCCTATTTTTCATTTCAATTATAAGATATTTAAGTGGGGTTTTGGGGTTTTGGGGTTTTGGGGTTTTGGGG